AAGGAACTGACAGCCAAGGAAATAGATAGGGCAGAAATTTTAATATTTAAAAAAATGCAACTTGATAATTATCAACGTGAAGTTGAAAAATTGACCAAAGGTGAATCTGTTGATAATTCAAGTAGTTTAAAATCACTACTATTCAAAATGTCAGATGACGGCTTAATTAGACTCAAAGGTAGACTGGACAATCTTAATGACAGCGACTATGACTTCAACTCGAAAAATCCCATTGTTCTAAGCAAAGATCACCCGATCACAAATCTTTTAGTATACCATTATCATCAAAAAAATTGTCATATTGGGGTAGAGACAGTTCTATCAAATCTTAGACATAAATTTTGGATCACAAAGTGTCGAAATACACTAAAAAAAATTATACGTAATTGCCAGTATTGCAAAAACAAAAGAGGACAGCCACACAAAGCTATAATAGGGCAACTTCCAAAATGTAGGATAGAACCAACGGAGAGAGCATTTTTAAAAGTGGGCGTAGATTATTTTGGTCCGATAGAAATAACAGTAAACAGGAGTCATGTCAAGCGATATGGTGTAATATTTACATGTATGGCCTCTCGCGCAGTACATCTTGAGGTAGCCGAAGACCTTTCATGCAACGCATTTATGCATTTATTTCGTCAGTTTGGTTGTCGACGTGGTTTTCCAATTGAAATGTATTCGGATAATGGAACAAATTTTAAAAGAGCAAGCAAAGAAATTCAAGAAGTTATAACTGACTGGCCCAAAGATGAATTGTTGCAGTTTCTGACCACCAAAAATTGTTCATGGTTTTTTAATCCACCCTTGAGTCCGCATATGGGAGGAGCCTGGGAAAGACTTGTACAAGCTGTAAAAAAGTATTTATGCTTTCTACTGAAAGAAAGATTTCCTAAAGAATACACATTGAAAACATTGTTTTGTGAAATTGAGCATATGATTAATAGCCGACCACTGTTGTATGTACCATCCGACTCCATGGACTCGGTACCATTGACTCCAAACGACATTTTAATTGGACCCGATTTTAGGGATTCATTTTATTCAACAGCCACTGAGGCAGATTTGAAAGTGTTAAATATGTGGAAGGCGTCTCAAAGACTGGCCGATATGTTTTAGTTAAAATGGAGAAAAGAATATAGACAATATCTTTTATACAGTCGTAAATGGACAAAAGGTGACGTTGTTTTGATAACAGATTCTGATTTACCTAGAAATATTTGGCCTAAGGGCATTATTGTAAAGACATATCAAGCTACGGATGGATGCGTTCGTATTGTAGATGTTAAGATAAAAGATACAATTTATAAACGACCTATAGGTCGTTAAGACGAATGTGTAACCCGACATTGTTAAGTATTGCTGCTATTCATAATTGAATAATTAGTTGCTGCAATACTTGGGAGGAGAATGTTGCGAAAAGAAATATATAATTTTGAATTTAACCCTTCTTGTACCGTACAACGAATATCGGATATTTTGTAAGTGTGACCGAAGTCAACACATTATGTATATTTTTGATTTAAGATGAGTTGGCAGTCATTATCTAGATGTCGACTGAAAATTGTGGTGTATAAAGATTGACGAAGCTGTAAAAAATAAAAATTGAATAAAAAGAAGTTGTCGGTGCACTATAAATTCTTGTTGGTTTATAAGAAATAACCCAACGACGACCAAAAATAAACATAAAGCCTGTGCATACGTGGTGCAAGGTTTGGTTGACGGAAATTATAGAATTCGGTCATTTGAGCCGGATTAGTAACCCTCTGCCTCTTTGCTAGGTGAATATGAACACTAACAGTTCACCTGTACGATAAGCTCGATGATTTCTCGTTTCTAACCTAGCCGTTTCACGTGCTGCCTCTCTTTGCTCTTGTGTTTGAGAAGCACGAATTAAGGCCCTTCTTTGCTCCATACCAACGCGGCGCTGTTCTCGTGCAATTTCTCGTTCTCCATCAGATAATTGACTCGCGATATTCCGTTGCCTAATTGCATTACGGCTTCGCTGGGAAAGATTAGATCTTCTAGGACGCGGCATTGTTATTAAAATGTGCACTCGCATAAAACCACCAAACTGATTTTTTTATTCCCTAAATTCCGTTCCTTTCCGATGATTTTATGTTTTTACTGTAGAATAAATCTTAGGTATTATTTTCGGGAATTTAAAATTAAATAATTAATAAATAATTTTCGAAAATGAATGTCTAAAACAAACAAATATAACAGTACCTGAACTTTGAAGACATTTTACAAAAAATAAATTTCTGAACGCACACATGATGTCTTCCGAAAAAAATAAAGTTGTGGCTTAAAGGTCTCAGCAACCAGGCCATAAGCTCCAAAAAAAAAAAATAGTTGTTACACTATTTGACAGGATTGGACAACAAATGTTTGACATGTAATAAACAAATCAGCATCTATTGAAATGATTAAGTATTCATTACACATATCGAGTTTTCATTGTTTTTAAGATGTATTCTGCTATTCGGGACGGAAACAAATCCAACAAGTCAAAAACCATGGAAATCGGTCCAGCCGTTCTCGAGTTATAAGTGTTGCATTACGGCTTCGCTGGGAAAGATTAGATCTTCTAGGACGAAGAAGACATTTTACATGTTCATGGCCTTGTCGCTCCCTTTCGTGACATATTTGCAAATGTATTTAATTGACTTGAATTGCAATTGCAATACTCAACATTACAATGTGCTTTGAATGTTTTGGAAAGAAGTGGCGAATATGGAACAATCCAACTGTTGTCAACTACGAAATCGTTTCCTTTCACTTTAGTTGTGATAGTTCTACCATTATCATCGTTGCCTGTAATGGTCTCTGCCGTCAATTTTCGTGGATACCGTTTGGAACACTTGCCGTCGACCATGCACGGTGATTGTCGGTTGATAGTGCCACACGGTCCATGAATCATATTCGTGACTACAACATCATGTAGGTCTGGATCGGTTTCACGAGCAGGAATCTCCGCACATATGATGTCATCTATTTGATCTGGCCGAATTCTTTCGACTAACCAAATCAGAATGTGAGCATGCGGTAGGCCTCGTTTTTGCCATTCGATTGAATACATCCAGCATCGAGTATTCCCAAAGACGTGTTGCTTAACAATGTAATTCATTAGTGACCGAATTTTTTGCCTGTAAACACGTGCGGTGATGTCGTGTCGATCACTTGATGTTTGTCCGGGAAGCAGCAATTGAATAATTTCTATCCATTTCGGATTACATGTAAATGTAATGAATAGATCTGGCCGACCATAATGACGAACATATGTCATTGCATCTTGCGCATATTCATGCAAATGACGCGGGCTACCTATGTATGTCGCCGGTAAAATAGTCAATCGACCAACAAAATGCAACGAATCGTCTAGCGCTGTCCGCGTCATGCGGGACTGGATAGTTTTTGATGACGTTATATTTTTTGTCATCAGGCAAGATTCCTTTATCTGTGCATTTATGACCGAGAAAGGTCACTTCATGCATAAAAAATGAACATTTTTGTAGATGTAACTTAAGGTTGTGTTTCCTACATACCTCAAAAATATCTTGTAAGTTTTCGAGCATATGTTTTTCAGAACAACCAATGACTATAAGATTGTCCATATATAGGAACGCTTGCGAAGATTCAAGTCCAGAGAATGCAATAGTCATCATTCTCTGAAATGAATTTGGCGCTATTTTTAAACCAAAAGGTAGTCGCGTGAAGCGATATGAGCCATTGCTTGTTGAAAAAGACGTTATATTACGTGAACTTTCTTCTAGTTCAATTTGATGAAAACCTGACATTAAATCAAGGCAAGAGAAGTATTTTTCTCTACCTAGTTGATCCAAAATATCATCAATTCTAGGTAATGGAAATTTATCTGTAAATTAACGTAAATTACCTTAAATGTCGGATTATATCCGTGTTCTTCGATAATTTCCGCCCCAAATTAAGTCATTTGAAAACAGACATTGTATTTTTGAATGTTCGCCAGATAATTGTCGTGATTCTAGCGTTTCGCCATAAAGCAGGGAGCACAATGGCTCTGGTGGCGGGACCAATAATGGCAATTTCACTTTACCACTATGGCAGCACAAACCAGGCGTTTCACCAGCAAACTTCATTGCTCCACAATGCTGGAAAACAACGTCCATTGGATGCGTCCAATGCAAACTAAACGATGCAAGCTGTAGTCGATGGTGCAATCATACAGAAACGCTGCTCGATTCAAATCAATACTTGAACCATTTCTTCTTGCACTTCGAAGATTATTCCTCTGTTCACCTGTACGATAAGCTCGATGATTTCTCGTTTCTAACCTAGCCGTTTCACGTTCTGCCTCTCTTTGCTCTTGTGTTTGAGAAGCACGAAAGAAGGGCCTTATTCTTTGCTCCATACCAACGCGGCGCTGTTCTCGTGCAATTTCTCGTTCTCCATCAGATAATTGACTCGCGATATTCCGTTGCATAATTGCATTACGGCTTCGCTGGGAAAGATTAGATCTTCTAGGACGCGGCATTGTTATTAAAATGTGCACTCGCATAAAACCACCAAACTGATTTTTTTATTCCCTAAATTCCGTTCCTTTCCGATGATTTTATGTTTTTACTGTAGAATAAATCTTAGGTATTATTTTCGGGAATTAAAAATTAAATAATTAATAAATAATTTTCGAAAATGAATGTCTAAAACAAACAAATATAACAGTACCTGAACTTTGAAGACATTTTACAAAAAATAAATTTCTGAACGCACACATGATGTCTTCCGAAAAATATAAAGTTGTGGCTTAAAGGTCTCAGCAACCAGGCCATAAGCTCCAAAAAAAAAAAATAGTTGTTACACTATTTGACAGGATTGGACAACAAATATTTGACATGTAATAAACAAATCAGCATCTATTGAAATGATTAAGTATTCATTACACATATCGAGTTTTCATTGTTTTTAAGATGTATTCTGCTATTCGGGACGGAAACAAATCCAACAAGTCAAAAACCATGGCAATCGGTCCAGCCGTTCTCGAGTTATAAGTGTTGCATTACGGCTTCGCTGGGAAAGATTAGATCTTCTAGGACGAAGAAGACATTTTACATGTTCATCGCCTTGTCGCTCCCTTTCGTGACATATTTGCAAATGTATTTAATTGACTTGACCGAATTGCAATACTCAACATTACAATGTGCTTTGAATGTTTTGGAAAGAAGTGGCAAATATGGAACAATCCAACTGTGGTCAACTACGAAATCGTTTCCTTTCACTTTAGTTGTGATAGTTCTACCATTATCATCGGGTGATCGACGCCGATACAATGGATAACCATCGTTGCCTGTAATGGTCTCTGCCGTCAATTTTCGTGGATACCGTTTGGAACACTTGCCGTCGACCATGCACGGTGATTGTCGGTTGATAGTCCACGATCCACGGTCCATGAATCATATTCGTGACTACAACATCATGTAGGTCTGGATCGGTTTCAGGAGCAGGAATCTCCGCACATATGATGTCATCTATTTGATCTGGCCGAATTCTTTCGACTAACCAAATCAGAATATGAGCATGCGGTAGGCCTCGTTTTTGCCATTCGATTGAATACATCCAGCATCGAGTATTCCCAAAGACGCGTTGCTTAACAATGTAATTCATTAGTGACCGAATTTTTTGCCTGTAAACACGTGCGGTGATGTCGTGTCGATCACTTGATGTTTGTCCGGGAAGCAGCAATTGAATAATTTCTATCCATTTCGGATTACATGTAAATGTAATGAATAGATCTGGCCGACCATAATGACGAACATATGTCATTGCATCTTGCGCATATTCATGCAAATGACGCGGGCTACCTATGTATGTCGCCGGTAAAATAGTCAATCGTCCAACATTTTCTGAATCTCCTTCTGTGCTAATTGCATCGCGTAAATGGATATACTCTTCCGAACGCAATTTAGCTTGATTCAACCGAATGAAAGTCAGACGCTCCGTTTCGATTTTAACGTACATGTCAACGCAATATTGTTGAAGCAGTCGACGAAATCGCAACAAATAATTGACAGAATTTTCACGAACTAACCTTCTTGGTAGTTTCCTCACCTGAAACAAATGCAGTAAAAATTGTATTTTAGAACCCGTAATAGGTTAACGACTCTTACAGCTACTCTCTACTAAATTAGAAATTACAACTTTTTTTGAGTACTAAAAGCAAACAGAATAAAATGTATATCAAGTTAAAATGAAAACAACAATATTGATCTTACCATTCAATGGATTAATCATTTTGATATTAAAGTTATATCCATCGTCTCCTTGCCAAAACATCGGCGGGTATTGTAACGCGTCATATGAGCGGTGTGTTTCATATATTCTTTGTAGTTGCCCAGTATTGCGTCATGTAAGTACAATATCACGTGTTTCCAAGTTTTCACCAACAATCAGGATTGCCACTTCATCGATTGTTGGAGCATTAAATGTGCGTTCATGTGTTCCAGCTGGTCTTTTATCTGCTCTGATCACAACTTTATAGTCATCACTTGGCATGCGCTCTAAAGCAGTCTTGAACAGCCTGACCAATGCATGATGTTCTTGAAGCATTTGCTGTAGATCTTGGAGAATTGCTCTTTTCGTAGCTGTGTTGATCCCTTGACGCCGGTCAAGTTGTTCTTCCATATTGCCCATGAAGTATATTTGAAAGAATTTATGCTGTGCATCTTCTATAGGTTGCAATGATCCAATGCGATGGCAAATCTGGCCTTGAATCTGTAAAGTCAAAACCATAGTTATAGTTAGATTTACAAACACTTTTTTTTTTTTTCACTTCCTTTTCAGCAGCGAGTGAGACCGGTCGTGTTTTTTGTTCTGTGCTGCCATTTTCATAGTGATTTGCGAAAGGCATAAAAAAAGTGATTCAAACAAATTTTTTCAGGGTCAAACGCGTGTTTTGCCTGTGGCAAAATCAAAGATATATCAATTCATCAAAAGAAAACTTGAATTCTTTCCCTGTGGTGGGTGAGTTTTTGGCAAGCTGGTTAAACCAGCGAAAATGGCGGACGCCGGTAACACGGCGTCAGTAAAAATGAAACCTCCGGACCAGACACTTAACAGCAATAAAAGACATTCCAAAACTGACTATGATAGAAAAATAAACGTTTTAAGCCCATCCTTGAAAGAAGACTTTTTGGACAGTCTAAAGAAAGACGCATCCTAGGTTAAAAAAAAAGCGAACAAACGAGTACACTAATACATATGAAGAGGCTGAAAAAGACATAAGTGACACACATACAGATGCAGAAGACATGACAGACAGTTTTGAGAGTGTGACCTTTAACTCAAACATCACAAATACTGAAAACACTGAAATGAGTATTATGGCTGCTGGACAAAAAACCAAAAATGTATCGGAAGTTTTTGCATCGACAAATAGCTTTGAAAAAGAAATAGTTTTGTATGGAGATAGTCATAAGGGTGATGCAGCAGTGCTGATATCAACAAAGAATTGTGTTAAGTTCGAAAATAAAAATACCAAAAATGGATTATTTCTCTTTGAGAAAATTAGACATCTGAAAATTAAAGGTATTAAAGAAATTGTTTCGCTGGCTCCGACCTTATACAAAATATATTTCTCAAATTTTACTGACGCAAACACTCTGGTTAAAAATAGCGATTTGAAAAAGATGAATATAGTAGCATTTATACCACGGAATTATGTGGAATCCTTTGGTATAATCAAAGCTGTTCCACTAGGTTTTTCGAATGAGGAAATCAGGGAGAATATAATGTCTAGTATCGCGATAAAATCCCTAGAAAGATTTGCAAGGAGGGAAAAAATGTTGATGGATGATACCAACTCAGAATTTAAGTTCATACCAACCGAGACGGTAAAAATCGGGTTTGAGGGTGCCGACATTCCAGAAAAGATCTCACTTTTCGGGATATGCAGCATGAAGGTATATCAATATATTCCAAAAATACGTCAGTGCTTTAACTGTGGCAGAATTGGGCACACTTCGGCCAGATGCAAATCGGCGAGAAGGTGCACCAAATGTGGAGTGGGAGATTGCATCGGAACATGCACGGTTCTAAAGTGCATTTTATGCAATGAGAAGAATCATTCAGCCAGTGACAGATTTGTTTGCCCAGTATGGGAAAAAGAAAATGACATAAAATAAGATTATGACAATAAAGAAAATAGCAAGAAAGGAAGTGCTAAATACGTATTCAGTCCATCAGAATTATTCACAGATGGAAAATTATGAGGTTAATTTTCCCAAATTAGACAGAACCGAGGAAAATATTCAAAATAAAAATATCAAAGCCAATGAAATACTCAAAAAGCATAGTTATGCTAGCAGAGTAATTCAAAGACCAACCATTCCCATACAAAAACCACATTTTCAGCTAGAAGCTTATACAAACGATACTAGTGACCATATACCGGTCGCTGGTTATCAGAATTTAGAAGAAAACAAATTTACTATCCAGCAGGTTATAAGTATGTTGTCGCAGTTCAGTTCAGTAAGTGGCATAAGAAATATGTCCAAAAATTACAACAATACCAACGAAAATACAACGAAAATACCACAAAGGAAATATAGGACACCAACAGAAGAAAATGAGAAAAGTTTAAAGTCTCGACGTGAATATGAAGTGCTTACAGCATAATATTCAATCGATAAAAGCAAACAAAAATGATCTCGAATTTTTTTTAAATAATGGAGACTTCAGTATTGCCATTCTGGCTGAAGTTTTTTCTCACGATCTCAGCTTCAGGAAATTAGCAAATTTCAAATTAATTGAAAAATACAGAGATGATGGCTATGGAGGCGTAGCGATCGCTTATAGAAACGATCTTAAAATGAAAAAGATAACCTATGAATCTGATCAGGACATTGTTATTGCAAGTACTACCCATAATAAACTAAATCTTTTTATCGCTTCCATATATTTTGAACCAACAACATCGATTGAAACCTTTAAGCAAGCTATAAATAACCTTCTGGAAAAATTAGACCCCTTTGAAAATGCAATTGTGGCAGGGGATTTTAACGCTAGACACATAGGTTTTGGTGACACAATAAATAGTAGAAAAGGGGCTTTTTTAAAGCAAGCGATGAACAATGCAGTATATGCTCTGGTAAATTATCGATGTCCTACATGTAGGAGAAATATAGATTCAATTGCAGGGTCCGTCTTGGATCTCACTTTTGTAAAGGGTATTAAAGTTCAGAATTGGAATTGTGAGAAACTGTTTCTGGGAGGCAGTCACCACCACCCTATAAGTTTTGAATTGATTGGAAGAGGAAAAAAGCTAAGTAAGTTTCTAGCTAAAAACAAACTAATTAAAAAACTGGGAAAAATAGATATAAAAAAAAACATAGGAGACTTAGCCAAATGTATGCAACATGAAATCAATGCTGCTACCTTTGAAGTTGACAACAAATGGCCAAAGTTATGGTGGGATGAGAGGTTAGCCAAACTATTTAACGAATTCTCTGAGGCCCAAAAAAAGGCATGCTCGGAGCCAGCTTTTCAGAATTATTGCAAGACAGTAGATCTAAAAATCAAATGGAAGAAGGCAGTCAAAATTGCAAAGAAAACTAGCTACGCCAGGAAACTAACAGAGCTCAATGTGAAGGCAAATACTAGGGAAGCCTGGAAGTTTCTAGCTAACCTTAAAAATTGCAACATAGAAACTCAAGAACAATTTGATTTAGAAAAAGCTGGGTCGTACTTAGAATGGCTAAAAGAACAAGTACCTGCTGAAGCCAGAAGCATTGATGCCACTATGCATGCATCAAAAGAAAACGAGAATCCAAAATTTGCTCTTGAAGATCTAGAAATGGTCCTAGGTCGAAACAAAAAAACATCAGGAGGCTTTGACAAGATCACTTATGAGATGCTCAACGCATTAAACAGGGACACTAAGGCAGAATTAGTCAAATTCTACAACAACAAAATTGCTAACTGTGAAGTACCAGCTGAGTGGCGCACGATTAAAATCACGCCAATCCCAAAAAAAAAACAAAGATCTATCAGACATAAAAAATTTTCGACCAATATCCTTAATATCGGTCCTGGCTAAAACAGTTAACAGTATTATCAAAATCAAGCTTGAAAAATATATACAGGACAACGAAATTCTACCCTATAGGTCTTATGCGTATCAGAAGGATAAGTCAGCTGCAATGTGCATTAATGATGTGATCAATGAGGTAGCTACAAGGAAAAAAAGCAAGGAGCATGTGATAGTAGCGGCTGTTGACCTAAACAACGCTTACAACTGTGTAAATTTGAATTTTTTAAAGATGTTAATGGAAAATGAAAGTTTTCCGAAAATGTATGTGGACTGGATTATAAGTTTCATGTCCATTAGGTTGCTAAGACTGGGAGATGCAGTAGAAGTGGTGCAAGGAGGATTACCCCAGGGATCATGTCTTTCACCACTACTTTTTAATATCTACACCAAAAGACTACATCAGGTAGGGGACTGCAACACACAAATTATGCAATTTGCCGACGATTTTATATTGGTGTCACACGGGTATAACTATGCGGCTGTAGTTGCAAATCTGAAAAACAAATTAAACGATTTTAGCCTATTATGTGGGGATCTGGGTTTTAGTTTCAATCCTAGCAAATCTGTGATTATGAACATGGGAAGGGAAGGTGGAAGGTCTCTGAACATAGAAGTTAATAATATTCTAATACCAGTGAAAAAAAGCTTTTTATTTCTAGGCAGGCTTATAAGTTCTAACATGTCCAATACCAGTCATATAAAAATGGTAAAAGAAGTAACTAGGAAAAGCAGTAGGCTTATACAATTAGCGACAACTATTAAGTCGGGACTGAAACCTAAGACTAGCGTTAATATCTTCAAATCGTTTATAAGAAGCAAGCAAGAATATGCAATTACCAGCTTTTCTGACATGGGAGTTGGGTCCAACAAAGACATGGAAATTGCACAGGCAGGAGTGCTGAGAAGATGTGTAGGTGTGCCTCCTGATACAAGCAAGCACGAAATCTTTGTGTTGGCGGGAATAATGCCTCCAAGTTTCAGGGCTAAGTGGCTTACAGCCAAAGAACTTTTCAAGGTCAAGAAGCTGAATCCCAGGATGTTCGATAGCATAAGACTATCAAAAGCAAAGACGAGTTACACTTGTACCTTAGAAGAATTTAAAACTTTCTTCGACAATTCACAAAGCTGTGATAATTATAAACACTGTAAAAAGATTAATGTAAGAGAAAAAGAAATGACAAAGAACAAAGAAGAGTACTCGAGGGAGGAAATCAGAGCCAGATTCTCTGAAATCTTGGAAAAATATTCAAAAGAAGGCTGGAATATTCTGTCCACAGATGCATCGGTCACGCAGGACAGGTGTGGTATAGGAATTGTAGAGTTACCCAGTGGAAATATATATAAATATAGAACAGTAAATAGGCTTTCATCTGTAGGGGCCGAACTGATAGGTATTAAAAAAGCGAGTGAGATATGTGCCAATAATGGATACAAGAAAGCTGTTATTTGTTGTGATGGTCTAGGAGCGATAAAACTAGTAAACAATAAACAAACAGACTCATACATAGTAAGAGACATTCACAATATTATCGACACATCAGGCATGCAAAAACTGGATATTCTATGGATTCCAGGGCACAAAGGGGTAACGATAAACGAAAAGGCTGATATGGCAGCAAAAGACGCCATACGAGAAGGGGAAACCATTTACATTCAATTTAGTGTGAAAGAAGCCTTAAGAGAAATTAAAAACTCCTTAGAACACAAGTGGAACGAGGAGTATAAACAAAAATGTAGTAACAAGTGCACCAGTTTAATTGAAATCTTTCCAAACATACCCAAAAAACCATGGCACTATAATTTAAAATGGAATGCAAAAAGCATAAAGACAATAAACAGACTGATGACAGGACACACGTACGATAAAGCCTTTCTATACAAAATTAAAGCGATTGATTCGGATATCTGTGAGTCATGTAATGTCACAGAATCCGCTGAACATCTGCTTTTTAAATGCCAAAGATTCGTCCGTCTTAGGGGTAAGTATCGAATTTTTAAATATTATAAGGATCTAAATGAACTCTTGATCAAAAAAGAGCCACTCCACATCAGAGAACTGGCACAGTTTATAAAAAGCGCTAATATGGACTTTTAAGCATTTTGTGATAAATCATTTTAGATTAATAAAGTATAGGGAAATGACTTTTAACGCCTGTCAAGCTCGCTGACAGGGAAGTCTGTGCAGGCCAACGGGGAGGCCTGTTATAAAAAAAAAAAAATATATATATATATATATTAAAAAAATTACAAAAAAGATATAATTTTCACAAACAATTTTTTTAAACAATACATTCAAGATCTCACTAAACACATATTCTGGAGACACACCTTGGGCCCATCAAGCGTCCGAACCTGAATAATCGGACAATAAGTCACACACCAGTACCTGATCAATGTGGCAACATAGCTGCGATCAAACCCCTGTCATCCATGCGATGATTTAATCAAAAAAAAAAAAAAAAACACTTTTTTTTCAAATAATAACATGCCATTTTTATTTCAGAGACAAATACAGAAATATAACAAACTACTGTAGGGGGGTACACGAATTACAAAACTCCGCACAAATCAGTTCGTTTTATCTTTTTTTTATTCCGCTTCGTGAGTTTTCAGCCGCTCGTATTCCAACAAAAAGTCCAGCCTCGATCACGATCTCCGCTTCCTTCCCTATCGATATTATCTCTACGATCTATTCTAATATATTCTACTCGCAACTCCGCTGCATGTATCGAGTTGGTGAACGATACCTACGCGCGCTCCTTAATATTTAAATGGTGTCTCTCTAAGTATTTACAGTACTCTACTTATATTACTACAATTCGGCCATCCTGACCAGTGCTCCTGAACTCCTTACAGTTGCCTTGGCTTCTTGTTGGCCTTATTTTTAACAGGTGGTTTCATTCTTATTTTACTATCCTTAATCTATATATTACAATCATTTTGTCTGTCATTTTTCCTGTGACATTTGCCTCGTTTCCTTTTCCCAGCCATGGCTTCATATTCGCTACCGCCCACACTCCTTTGTACGGGATCCTAGACTGCTGAAAACCTTCTACATCTTCCAATACGTATCTATCGTTTCTTAACACTTTAGCTATCCTATACGGCCCTTTGAACTTCGGAATAAGTTTTTTAGATACCCCTATATGGGTATCGAAGTTTTTCACCATGACTAGTTCGTTGTCTTTGTATACATGTGGCTTTTTCCGTCTTGCGTCTGCTGCCTGTTTGTTGTAGTCCTGTACCTTTTCCTGATGAGTGTTTGCTTCTGATCTAATTTTTTCTAAATCCCTGGTCACTCGTTGCTCGGTTAGCTCTTTTAAACAATCACCTAGTAGATCTGACACTTCGCCTCTCTGCCTGACCCCGAATAACATACGACTCGGGTGTTCATTAACTGTCCTTTGAATTGTGTTGTTCATTGCGTGTTCAACTGTTCGTACCACTGTATCCCAGTGTAAACCTTTCTCCGGGTCGACGAGCTTTGCGATCATTGGTCCTAAGCTTCTGTTAACTCTCTCTACCTGGCCGTTGGCTTGTGGCGATCCTGTAGCTATCTTTATGTGCTTAACGTCGTTCTGCTCTAAAAAATCCCCGAACTCTTTTGATGTGAAACAGCTTCCTCTGTCTGATACGATGCATCTCGGTCTGCTGTAAGCCCGAAAATAATCGTTCATTGCCTTAACTGCTTCCCTTGAGTTAGTGGTTTTTGTTGTGTAAAGCCTTACAAACTTGGTGAACGCGTCTATAACTACTAATATATGCTTGTTCGCTCTACTTTTGTCAACCGATCCAAAATGGTCGATATGTACCACATCAAATGGAACCGATCCTTTTGGTACCTTGTGCAAAAACCCTTCCTCCTTTCCGTGCTTCGCCGAATACGCTAAGCATTTGAGACAGTTCTCTATGTGCTTTTTGGTTTTTTCCCTAACGCTTGGGAACCAGTAACTCTTCGATATCGCATCGGTCATTTTGTCTATTCCAATGTGTCCTAACTCATCGTGGTATTTATAGAGTACATGGCTTTCCATCTCCTCGGGTACGCAGAACAGGAGGGTATCGTTATCCTTCTTTCTATATATCACTCCGTTTCTCATCTCGTACTGTTTGTGCTCGGACTCCTGCAATATCTCTTTTAACTTTAACAGTTTGTCGTCTCTGTTCTGGCATATTATTAGGTTTTCTTCAAAAGTGTTCGTGTCTATCGTCAGTATCTGTGTAACTCTTCTAAGAGCGTCCACGTGTTGCATTCTGCTCCCGGCCCTGTGCTCTAACTTGTAGTCATAATTCTGTAACTCTAACGCCCAGCGGGCGATGCGTGGATTCAGTGCTTTCTTGTTCAGTGTCATGGTTAGTGCATTGCAGTCTGTCACTATCTTAAATGGTATGCCTTGAACATATATTCTGAACCGTTGAAGGGAGTAAATTATCGCTAGAGTCTCTAGTTCGAAGCTGTGATATTTTGCTTCGGTGACTGTCGTCCTTTTGGAAAAATAAAACACTGGGTGCATCTTGCCATCGCTCTTCTTCTGCATTAGTATCGCTCCGAACCCTAACGCGCTCGCGTCGCAATGTAACTCTGTTGGATCTCGGGGATTATAAAGTGCCAATATTGGCGCTTCCAACAAGTTATTCTTTAGCTGCTCGAAACACTCTAATTCTGTGGCTCCGAACTCAAACTTTCTGTCTTTTTTGACGAGATCATAAAGAGGCTTGGCTTTCGTCGAAAATTCCTTCACAAACCGCCTGAAGTAAGAACATAGCCCTAAAAAACTTTGTACTTCGTTCGTTTTCATTGGAACTGGGAACTCTTTCACTGCCTGTAATCCTCTGGAGTCCGGTTTAATTCCGTTACCAGAAATAGAATAACCCAGGTACTTGACTTCTGACTGCAAAAATTCGCATTTATCTAACCTCAGCTCGAGTTTGTTTGCTATCAACCGTTTCATCACTTCCTGTAGAATTTCCATGTGACTGTCACTATCTTTTGTCGCTATCATTATGTCATCCATGTATATTATCACTTTGTCTTCTTTCTGCTTCGTCTTCTGCTTTACCTTCTTCTTCTCCTTTACACTCGTTCTCTACTTCACACTCACTTTCTTCTAACCACTCACTATGTATTACACACTCTTCTTCTAAACGCTCGTTTTCTCTTTCACACTCATTTTTCTCTTTCCCAATCATTTTCTATGTCGCACTCATTTTCTATTTCACACTCATTCTTCCCTAACCACTCATTTCTCTCTTCTTCTTCGTCTTCCGTTTCACACTCCTCTTCTTCGTAATCGTCATTTTCAGCTTTGCCAACGTTCTCTTCCCCACTCTCATTTTCCTTGCAAATGTCACTTACAATCTTAAATTTACATAATCTCATAAAATCTCTACCTAATACAGCCTCATGGCCCATCGACTCGTTTGCCACTACTAATAGTTCAAAGTTAATTTGTTCTTCATTAAAAATTACAAAACCGGAAACTTGTCCGAAAACACGAAGTCTACTGTTGTTAAGACCAACGTATGTGTGGCTCGTATTTTTATTAATAACAAATGTAGGCTTCTTCGTTTCATTGCCATACTGTGAATTACATGAACTTAACTCGCCTTCTCGGCCTTCTGTCGCATTAATTTTAGTTTCTTGGTTGTGATATGAACTTAAATCTACTTGATTAATATTGTGTCCATTTGAGAGGCACGAGATCTTTGCAAAACTTATTGGGCTCCCTGAGTCGATGAGGCAGTCTAAGAAAAAACATTTATTACTAAAATTCTTAATGAATATGTTAAATTTACGGATGTATTCGTTCTGTGCCTTATCTTTCCGTTCACCGCAATGTGCTATCTGGTGGTTCATGCTGCCGCATCCGTAGCATGCTCCTCTTTCACGCTTGGGCTTGCGACAATCCACTGCCATATGGCCCAACGAGTTGCAGTTATAGCAGCGGACCAGTGACGAAGACTCTCCCGAGATGCTCCTTGCTCCTGGTGGCGTGTACTTCTTCGGCAGCATGACTTTCTCGAAAGCCCTCAGCAGCTGATACGGCGCGACGAAACCCTGCATATGGGCCTGACGGCGCAGTGTCTCATCTGGGATACCCTCGACGATGCCGTCGATTAACTCTTCGGCGTCGATGGCTATGCGAGACGCTAGCATCATTTTGTCGTTGAAGTAGCCGACGAACTCCTCGTCGCGCATCCACGACCGTGACTCAAACTTGCGGCGGAGTGATAGCTTGCTTTCCTTGAGTTGAAATGTATTCTCCATTATGTTTAATAGTTGATCAATTGGCATGGACATGTGCTGTACCTCAGAATGCAGCCACATTAGGGCATTGTCTTTCAGCTTTGACATCAGCAGCATCAGTAGCTGCTCATACGACAGTTTGTTTATCTTTGCCGTCGCTCTGAATTGCGCGATCCAAGCAGTGACGTCACTATTGTTGCCAGAGGTGTTGCCGTGGTAGTTTGGCAACATGTCTTTCGCAACATTAAGTCGCGAGAGGCTAGACTCAATATTGACAGACGTGCCTGCACACAGCGGAATATTCTCGCTCTCTCCTCCCTTTTGCAGCTTTAGCAACTCAATTCGTAACTTCAAGGCCTCGATTTCGTTTGCTAGATCCGTTGCTTTTCGTTGCTCCTTTTGTGCTTCTGGTTCGTTGTTGTAGCTGTCGTTTGTCGGCGATACGAAGGTCGACGTCGCATCATCGGTCTCTCCTTTGTCCTCACCATTAGAATGCTGACTGGCGTCGTGGTTTTTTGTCGAATCTGGATTGTTCTGGAACACCTCGTTTTCCGACTCGCTCTCGCACATGTCTGCTGCTGGCGGCCCCTGTCCGCGTGCTTCCAGTGGGCAAGTTAAGGGACTCAAGCCACTCCCGCAGTTGTGCCGCTGAGTATTGCTCTGCTCCAACCAAATCCGACATTTTCACTTTGAATTTTTTTTTAGTTTTGTTTTAATTGCAGCCGGCGTCGATTAAGGGTTGAAGAAGAAGAAAAAAAAAATGTGCAATTTGCTTGTGGCGACTATGGTTCTGATCCCACTTCTGAATTTGTAGGGGGGTACACGAATTACAAAACTCCGCACAAATCAGTTCGTTTTATCTTTTTTTTATTCCGCTTCGTGAGTTTTGAGCCGCTCGTATTCCAACAAAAAGTCCAGCCTCGATCACGATCTCCGCTTCCTTCCCTATCGATATTATCTCTACGATCTATTCTAATATATTCTACTCGCAACTCCGCTGCATGTATCGAGTTGGTGAACGATACCTACGCGCGCTCCTTAATATTTAAATGGTGTCTCTCTAAGTATTTACAGTACTCTACTTATATTACTACACTACATTCCAGATTTTTTTTATAATGATGGAAAATAAAGTTTTTAACGTAAATTACCTTAAATGTCGGATTATATCCGTGTTCTTCGATAATTTCCGCCCCAAATGAAGCAGGGAGCGCAATGGCTCTGGTGGCGGGACCAATAATGGCAATTTCAGTTTACCACTATGGCAGC